GTGCAACCCGATCCCATATAACATTAGTCATACCTGTTGCGGCGTGCAACCCGATCCCATATAACATAATCCGCCTGGAAATAGCCACATGCACCCAATTTCAACATAGATTAGACTATTATCAAATTTACCGAAATAACAAGACAAGTTGCACAAGATATAAAAATAGACACAAGGAAAATCACATCACATGAAAACTACCAACGCAATAACCCCACATCATCACATAAAAATTACCAATACAATAACTCCACATCATCACATATCATCCCAAACAATAGCCACCCTTATCTCTCCTATAGCCACCCATATCACTCCTATAATTGCCTCCCTTATCCTTCAGCCCTGACAATATCAATAGCCACCCTTATCGCTCCTATAGCCACCTTTATCGCTCTGTATAATAGCTACCATTATCAATCCGCCCAAATAATATCCCAACACACATAACCATAGTGAAATGACACCCTTATACTCACATAATATCAACAGTGAAATGCCACCCTTATATCCTCATAATAATAACTCAAATCACACAATAATTTACACGAAATATTATCACGACAACACAACTCAATCAATTAATATCACAATTTTCCTAATGACCACAACCAATTCCAATGATATAGTAAAATCAATAAATTTCTCAAAAATAATCCAAGCGTCCACACAAAGTATATAAAACCTCGAAAACAACAACAAGGAAGGAAAATTAACTCAGCATAAGACAACACTTTCTGTACTCCAAGTTATTCTTTGATAAATATATTAATACCTCAATTTAAACTTATTTAATTAATTATTTGCAGATGGAAAATCCATAAAGAATTAAATTCTAAGAAAATATCAAATCAACAAATACACGAAATTCACATAAAAATCCCAATGACAATCACAGAAAATTATCATATAAAATACAAACCTAACAAACAAGGAATGAGGCATGACAATTTCAAGGATTTACTAAATGCCAACAATTATCTAATTTAATACATAAAAATGCCTAAGACATTAAACCAATAAAATTTGGACATATAAGCCCGAGTACGTACTCGTCACCTCGCGTACACGGCTTTCAATCATACAACTTCCATATAAGACTCAATGCCTAAGGGTTAATTCCCCCACTCAAGGTTAGGAAAGATATTTACCTTTTTGAAGTTAGACCGATATTCCAAAATCGCCTTCTTGCTTGAATTGACCTCCAGACAGCTCAAATCTAACCTAATTAACTGTATAACTTCATTAAAATTTATCAAAAATAATTCCGGATAATAAAAAGTCAACTTAAAATTTCCCATTAAAAAAGTCAATGCGGGGCCCGCCTCTCGGAACCCAACAGATTTTTTACGAAATCCGAACACTCATTCCGATACGAGTTCAACCATACCATATTTACCAAATTCCTATAACGAATCGACCTCCAAATCTTAAATTTTCGTTTTATAAAATTTCTACAATTTTCCCCAAATTTCCATCTCAAAATACTAATTACATGATGAAAACAATGATATATTCATGTATATTAACTAAATCCGAGTTAGAATCACTTACCGCAATGATTTTCTTGAAAATCCCACGAAACATTGCCACAAACCTAGCTCCCAAAGTCCAAAAATGAAATATGAGATAAAACCCTAGTTTATATTGTACATAATCGGATCCCCATTGTGCTGATCGCACATTTGCTTGTGCGGTCGCACATCCCAGGTATTGCGGTCGCACTCCAAATTGTGCGACCGCACTTCAGTAGCTCTACACTACCAGTTTTCAGTAAATGGACCATAACGTTCTCTACAAATGTCCAAATGATTAATGGTATACTTTTCTAGAAACTAGATTCAAAGGGCTACAACTTTTGGTTTTGAATAATCACTAAATTCTTTGTAGATTAAACGATATAAGCTTCTGAAGCGAACCATCGAATATGCGAATTTCTGTGGCCGCGAGAATAATTCTGCGGACCGCACAATTTGAACTGCGGTCCGCACATATTCAAGTGCGGTCCGCATAATTCCTACTTATACATCACTTTGGGAGTTTGCGGCCGCACTTCTGCACTCTAAAATGTGCCCTCCGCACTTCAACTATCCAATAACATCGTCAGAGTGCCGAAATGCCCGGACTCGCTCAAAATACCACGGAACTCATTCGAGCCACTCGGGATCCCGTCTGAATATACCAGCAAGTCTTATAACATGATACGTACTTAGTCGGGCCCTCAAATCACATCAAACAACATCAAAACACGAATCACACTCCAATTCAAGCCTATTAAAACTAAGGAAATTCCAACTTCTATGATCGATGCCGAATCCTATCAAATCAAGTCCGATTTACCTCACATTTTGCACACAAGTCATAAATGACATAACAGACTTATACCAATTTCCAAAATCATATTCTGACCCCGATACCACTAGAGTCAAGTCCCGTTCAAACTTCCAAACCTTCCAATTCCAACTTACGCCATTTCAATATAAATCAACTACGGACTTCCAAATAAATATCCGGACACAGTCCTAAGACCAAAATAACCATACGTAGCTATTGGAACCATCAAAATTCTATTTCGGAGTCGTTTTCTCAAAAGTCACCTCTCCGGTCAACTCTGTTCTTTTAAGCTTCATAATAAGAGTTGTTCTTCCAATTTAATCCTGAATCGTCTGAAAACCAAACTCGACCACACACGCAAGTCATAATACACAACACAAAGCTGCTTGGTACCTTATGTTGTTGAACGAGACGCTAATTCAAAAAACTATAAGTCGGGTCGTTACACAGCGCCAGGGCCAGCTCCCCACGCTGTCCTGGACACTAGTGACGGAAAAGTTGTCCAAGTTTGTCCGGGACAAAGTTATTTCGGCCGTAGACCTACCCAACGTGTATAAAAGAAAGACTAAGCCTATTTTGAGAGGGGAGACACCACTTTGAAGAGAAAATACACACGGGAAACATCTGGGAGCGAGGAGATCTCAGTTTTCTTCATCGTTTCATAGTATTTTCAATTATCCAACACTTAAGAATTTGTTTGATACTATCATGAATGGCTAAAACCCATAGTTCTGGGGTTGTGATTTAGCTATGAATAGTGTTGTTTAATGTTGACTTAACCTTGATTACAATTCACTAATATATGGTTGTTTCTATAATTCTGTGATTAATTGCTTAATTGTCTCGCCAGTAGTTAGGTTCTCTTTACTATCAGTGTTNTCTTAATAGATTGATTTCATAGGAATATAGGCGTTAATCTATTTTAAATAGGCGAGTAGTAATTCAGGAGAATGCTACAAGAGCAATTGTTCGATTAATTAGCAACCATGAGTGAATTGTATGAAAGGGAGAGTTAACTAAAACACAATAAGATTGGTGAATCGATTACAACCCAGGAATATTTGTTTCTACTGAATACACAACAATCATTTTGTTGCTTGATAATTTAGTTACTACTTAGAATTATTGTTTAGTATAATCACACTCCTGAACTCGAATTGGCTCGGCTGAATAACAATCTTGGTGAATTTAGTGGGTAGTTAATATAAGTCTTTGTGGGTTCGATACTCGACTTATCATTTTATTACTTGTACGACCACGTATGCCTGTGTGTGCGCCTGGGAGCAACAAGTTTTTGGTGTCGTTGACGGGGACTTGAATATTGATTACTTTCTAGTTTTTTGCTTTAATTGTTTATTTTGCCAAGTCTAATATTACTTGATTGTTGCTCTGCTCTTAGGAACCTTGATTGAATGCGAAAGGTTAGAAGTCAGGACAGACATCAATGCTTTGACCTCGAACTTGAAAGAATATTTCATAGGAGGTTGAGGGAAGCAAGGGACGCAAATAATCTTCAGGCACTTGTTCAATTTCCTGTGAGAGCAACATATGGTTGTTTAGGAGATGGCGATGCCCAGCATTGCTAATGTCACCTCCAGCATTGTGAAGCCTAAAATTACTGGGTATTTTGAGCAGAAATAGAGCATGATCCAGCTACTTCATGCGAATGGGCAATTTATGGGTCTTCCATACGAGGATTCACAATAGCATATCCTGAATTTCTTAGAGATTAGTGATTCTTACATCACTAACGGAGTCACTCCAGACTATGTGAGGCTCACACTTTTCACGTTCTCTCTGTTGGGCGAAGCATAGCGATGGCTAAAGGCAGAACCAACTTATTATATTACATCATGGAATGATATGGAAAGAAAATTTTGGCAAGGTTCTTCCCTTCAGGCAAAACTGCAAAGATCAGAAGTGAGATAGTTGCCTTCAAACGGAAAGCGGGGGAGTCATTATGCTCATCTCGGGAGAGGTTCAAGGGGTTGCTCAGAGACAAACGAAGTGCCAGCTCAAACTTTTATAGAACGTCTACTTCCTAACACAAAGATTGTGGTAGATGTTGCAGCTGGAGGTCAAGTGTTGGAGAAAAGCATTGATGAGATATATGCATTATTGAACAAATTCTCCAAAAGCAATCCTGATTGGCAAGGAGAGATAGGTAGACACATAGTGCAAAAATCTATAGGGGTTCTCGAGTTAGATGTCGTCTCGGCATTATCAGCACAAATTTCCACATTGACCAACCAAGTCAATCAGATGACCTTGGTTATTAATAAGAAACAATCCCAGTTAGTGCAACAAGTGCAATTATTTTGTGAAGTATGTGGAGAAGGTCACACGAGCGACTTATGCCCAGTTAATCCTGAGTCTGTCTGTTTTGTGGGTAATGCAAATAGGGCCAGACAAACCAGTATGGGAACACTTATAATCCCAACTGGAGGAACCACCCAAACTTCTCTTGGAGTGGAAACCAAGGTGTTCAGAATCAGTATCGGCCAGAAGCGCCTCAATAACAATATAGACCACCTCAAGCTGAACAACATGCAAACTCGACAAGTCACCTTGAGGAAATGATGAAGAAATTGATGGTTGACCAGTAGGTCCACACAATAGAGATGATGAAGAAAGTGATGGCTAACCAGCAGGCCTAAGAAGCAACAATGAGAAATTTGGAGCGACAATTGGGACAACTTTCCAGTGCCCAAAATACTCGATCAGTTGGAGCTCTTCCAAGCGACACTGAGGCTAATCTTAAGGCATCTGCTAATGCTGTGTCATTGATGAATGTGAGACAGTTAGAATAAGTCCAGTCGAAGAATAGAAAACAAGTGACCATTAATGAGAAGCTGGCCACTATAGAGTCAGAATCAGAAAAATCAAAGGAGTCAGAAAAGCCAGCTCCTCAAAAATGGTGGCTAAGCAACCCCCACCATTAGTTGCAAGGCCACCACCTCTGTTCCCTCAAAAATTGCAGAAAGTGAAGGATAATGCCGCGAATAAAAAGTTTCTTAGTATTTTAAATCATGTGCAAATCAACATTCCATTGGTAGACATCCTGCAAGAAGTGCCAAAATATGCAAACTACATCAAGAACACAGTTGAAAATAAAAGGAGGTTGACCAAATTCGAGACTGTGGCACTCACTGAGGAATGTAGCTCAAGAATCCAAAGCAAGCTACCTCAAAATTGAAGGATCCGGGTAGTTTTACTATCCAAATCTTGATTGGTAAGCATGCAGTCGGGCGAGCTTTGTGTGATCTTAGAGCAAGCATCAATTTGATGCCGCTATCTGTGTTCAAATAGTTGGGTTTGGGTGAGCCACACCCAACAACGATAATCTTATAATTGGTTGATGGCTCCCTTGCTCACCCTGAAGGAGTGATTGAAGATGTGTTAGTTCAATTGGGTTCTTTCATATTTCATGTTGATATCATTATCTTGGACTACGACCTGATCAGAAAGTCCCATTTATTTTGGGGCATCCATTTTTAGCCACGGGTCGAGCTATTATTGATGTATGCAAAAGAAAGATGACGATGTGAGTAGGTGATCAAGTGAAAGTATTCAATGTGTATAAATCACTCAGATTGCCAGTCCACTATGAAGATCTATCCATGATTTCTGTGGTGGAAAGCGATGTTACGTCATTGGTGCCTTATATGAGCCGCATAGATCCTCTTGAACGAGCTTTGATTGGGGATGAAGAAGAAAATGAAGATGATATGAAGGGAGAAATTGAGCAAGTACTTGACATGTCGTGCAATTATGTCCATGGGTTTGGAAGATTTGAGGAATTGGACAGGCCTGTCACTCTGACCCCTCCTAAGCCATCTATTGAAGAAGCTTCAAAGCTAGAACTAAAGCCCCTTCCAGCGCTTCTGCACTATGCTTATTTGGGGAACTATGAAACATTGCTAGTAATTATCTCATCCAGCTTGACTAATGTACACGAAGAAAAATTGCTCAGAGTACTTTGCGAGCATAAAGCTATAGGGTGGACAATTACGGATATCAAGGGAATAAGTCCATTGTTTTGCATGCATAAAATCTTTCTAGAAGATGGAGACCACCTCAGTGTTGAGCAGAAAAGAAGATTAAATCCCATCATGAAAGAAGTCGTGAAGAAGGAAGTAATTAAGTGGCTCAATGTAGGTATCATCTTTCCTATCTCTGACAGTAACTAGGTAAGCCTAGTGCAATGTGTGCCTAAAAAGGGAGGGATGGTTGTGGTTGAGAATGAGAAAATGATATAATTCCTACTCGCACTGTGATGGGGTGGAGAGTTTGCATTGATTACAAAAGTCTCAACAAAGCAACCCGCAAAGACCACTTCCCACTTCCATTCATTGACCAAATATTGGACAGATTGGCAGGGCATGAATATTATTGCTTCCTTGATGGCTATTAGGGGTACAAGAAGATTGTCATATGCCCAGAGGATCAGGAGAGGACCACTTTCACTTGTCCTTATGGAACTTTCGCCTTCAAGCGAATGTCGTTTGGTCTTTGTAATTCACTAGCCACTTTCTATACTTGCTTGATGGGTATTTTCACCGATATAGTGGAAAGCTTTGTGGAAGTTTTTATGGATGATTTTTCAGTCTTTGGATCTTCTTATGATGATTCTTTGAAGAATTTGAGCTAGGTGTTGGCCCGTTATGAAGAAACAAATCTGGTGTTGAATTGGGAAAAGTGCCATTTTATGGTACAGGAAGGCATCGTGTTGGGTCACAGTGTGCCTAGGAGCAACATAAAAGTTGATAAGGCAAAGGTGTAGGCAGTTGAAAAATTACCTCCACCCATTTCTATAAAGGGTGTCCGGAGTTTCTTGGGACACGTAGGGTTCTATCGGCGCTTTATTAAGGATTTTTTAAAAATTGCTACTCCTTTGTGCAGGTTGAAGGCGCTTTTAAGGATTTTTTGATTTTGATGACGCTTGCCTGAAGGCATTTAAAGAGCTCAGAAAGAAGTTGGTGGCTTCCCCCATTATTGCGGCACCAGATTGGTCCTTACCAATTGAACTTCTATGTGATGCAAGTAACCATGCTATTGGGGCAGTGCTAGGCCAGAAGCACAAGATGTTTTATTCCATCTGCTATGCAAGTAAGACTCTTGATGATACACAACTGAATTACACCACCACTGAAAAGGAGTTGTTGTCCGTTGTGTGGGCCTTTGAGAAATTTTGGACATACTTCGTGGGAACAAAAGTCATAGTCCATACCGATCATGCAGCAATCAGGTATCTATTTACAAAAAAAGAATCCAAGGCTAGATTGATGCATTGGGTTTTGTTGTTGTAGGAATTTGATGTAGCAATACGAGATCGAAAGGGCACAGAGAACCAAGTAGCTCACCATCTATCAAGGCTGGAAAAGCACGACCATGTGGAGGAAGGTGGACAAATTAAAGAAGCATTCCCTGATGAGCAACTTTTTTCTATCACCCAAGACCCTCCCCCATGGTACGCGGACTGTGTGAACTATCTTGTGAGCGGGGTACATCCTCATAAAATTGAATCTGGAGCGAAAAAGAGGTTTCTACATGATGTAAACTTCTACTACTGGGATGTGCCATACTTGTAACAACAGTGTGTTGATAAATTGATGAGGAGATGCATTCCAGAAAAGGAGGTGGAATTAGTATTGTATGATTGTCATGCATCACCTTATGGGGGCCATCATGGAGGTGATATAACAATTGCTAAGGTATTACAATCCGGTTTTTTTTGGCCAACATTATTCAAGGATGCTCATACATTTGTTAAGAAGTGTGACCTGTGTCATAGAACAGGAACAATCACTAAGAGACATGAGATACCTTTGAATAACATCTTGGAGGTCTATATTTTTTATGTGTGGCAAATAGATTTTATGGTACCATTCCCACTGTCCAGAGGAAACAAATATATTTTGTTAGCAGTTGACTATGTGTCAAAATGGGTAGAGGCGATCGCATTGCCAACAAATGATGCCATGGTAGTAGTTGCATTTGTGAAAAAGAATATATTTTCGAGGTTTGGGACTCCACGTGCCTTGATTAGTGATGAAGAGACATATTTTTGCAATCGGTTGTTGAATAACCTTCTAGCTAAATATGGAGTATGCCATAGAGTTTCTATGGCATATCATCCTCAAATAAGTGGACAAGTTGAGGTATCTAATAGAGAAATAAAGAAAATCTTAGAGAAGATGGTGAGTGTGAATAGGAAGGATTGGACTGCAAAGTTAGATGATGCCTTGTGACATATAGAATCAAAACACCAATTGGGGCATCGCCGTATAAGCTTGTTTATGGGAAGGCATGTAACTTGCCTGTTGAACTTGAACACAAAGCATACTGCGCCATTAAGAAGTTGAATATGGACCTTAAGTCGCGGGCGAGAAGAGACTCTTGCAGCTGAATGAGTTAGATGAGTTCAGGATTCACTCCTATGAAAATGCTAAGCTATACAAAGAAAAAATAAAAAGATGGCATGACAAGCGTATCATGCCACGTCACTTCGAGCCAGGACAACATGTATTATTATTCAATTCTAGGCTCAAGTTGTTTCCTGGGAAGTTAAAATCGAGATGGTCAGGCATGTTTGAGGTGGTGAGAGTCACTCCTTATGGTGCAATTGTGCTGCGCGTGTTAAATGCTGAAAAAAAATCTTTAGTGAATGGACACAGAGTCAAGCACTATTGGGGAGGAATAGTTGATCGTGAGAAGACCAAAGTTGTACTCACTGATGACTAAGAGAGGCCCTGCGTCGTACATCGACAGTAAATCAGGAGCTTGTTGGGAGGAAACCCAATTTTTATTGCTTTCATAACTTTTAATTTTTTAGTTAGAGTAGACTAGAGTTTGCATTTTCTTTGTAGACATAGAATTTATAGGTTGAATGGTGTGGGTCATGTAAATTAAATGTATAAAAGGCTTGGGGGATATGGATGTTATAAAAACAAATTCTCGAAATTTAACGCCCATGTCACTGACTTGGGGGACCCAATACAGTATGGTGAAACCCCAGTGCCAGTAATAGCGTGGGGCGCTGGGCTGGGCAGGTACGTTTTAATTTATTTTTTTTCCTTTTATTTAATTATATAATTGATTTAACCCATGCCCATAAAACCCAACCCATCTACCCATATACTCTCACATAACAACCCATACTAAATACACATACCCACCCATAACATAAATTAAAACATAACTCAAACACCCACCTCCCAAAATACCCAAACGCAACTCTCTCTCTCTCTCTCTCTCTCTCTCTCTCTCTCTCTCTCTCTCAACATTTCTTAAGCTCTTCTCGTGATCTCATCCTAAATCATACAGGTATGTTCTTCGTTTTCTTGTTCTTGTTGTTTTAATAGGTAGATGCTAATAAACATCATATCTCCCCAAATATCCTAATTCCCAATTTTTGCACCTAAGTTGTTTCTTAAGAATTGTTCTATTGTAGGTGGTCCGATTATAGGTCAAAATTTGTTGTGGTTATATTGTATATGGAGTAGTAAACTAAAATTCCTTCTACTTCATTGAAATTTGGGAGGGCCACCATGTTCCACCATTATTAAACTAAAGTGCACACACTTCATGCCCACAAGGTATTTGTTAAAATGTTTGAATGAACATTTTGTGCACCGGTGAAGTCTGAGTAACCGAGTGTAGTTGTATATGATATTGGGCTAAGTGTGGGGTGTATGGGGATTATTTTACATGTTTGGGAGCTTGGTTTTAAATGCGCACATGTAGACCACACCATGTATTCTTTATTGTGTATGTTGTAGAACTTTGTAGGATTAGCTAATTTAGTGTAGTGGTTGTGTAAAAAGTAAGTACCATATGCCGCTTGCCTGCATTGAGGTTCATTCACTTAGCCAGGATCGATCACTTGTGTGTGTGGCGTCGTTAGTGCCTTTTAGATATTGTGTGGAATGGGGAAGTATTGAGTACCCATTTCCTTATGGTGCAACACTTGTGTGTTATAGACCACGATTGTGAGTAATTTACATTGAGCCTTCGGTTTTAAGTGTAGGATCATTTTTGACTAGCGCGGCAACCTTAGACTGATTTATTGATTTGTTATCACATTCATGCTTATTTGTGTTGCAGGTTGCTATGGCTCGTGATAATGAAAGTAAAGGCAAGGGAATAGGAAAGTCCTCCACCAATTCCCCCGCGCTCAAAAAGCGCAAGCAATGAGAAGGATCCTCAAGGCAAATAAAAGGGAAACAAGTGTCCGGGGGATCAAAGCAGACACCATTACAACCGAGGCCTCGTTTGTATCAAACAAATGATGCTTCTATTGCATGTCATAGGGATATGCCATATGGGTGGTACGTTTCCGAAATGGGAATTAATGTAAAAACTTTAGAAAGGAATTTCCCGGATGTGCTTGGCCGATTGCGATCACTGGACATGGACAAACTCATAGAATGCATCGGCCATGCAAATTTAAGCATGGTGCGAGAACTGTACGCCAACTGGAATACAGACTTATTTAGGTCACATGTACGTGGAATAGACGTGCCACTGAATAGGAAGGCTATGTGTGAGTTTTTGGGGGTAGAGAATCCCTACCCGAGGAGGCTAAATAAATTTTCAAAAGCCCGAGCTACACGGCGATACGTCACACTCTTTTTGGTGTTGATTCAAATGCTAAGTGGACCAAAAATTAAGGTGATATTCACCTTCAGATGGTTCACTCTGATTTCAACAAGACCACCAAAGTGTGGAAGAATTTTATGCAAGCCAGACTCATGCCAGTGGAGCACAACAGGGAATGCACTCGAGATCGAGTGTGTGTAATATTCTTTTTGATGACTGGGAGACCCAATAATGTGGGTGAGATCATGCTGGGGGAGATGGCCCGCGCACGATTTGGACGGCAGATTAAGAGGTTTTTCTTTGGCAACTTGCTCACGCAATATATGCTCTCCCGGGAGGTACCAGAGTACCCAAGGTATGATGAGGTGGTGGAGGCGCCTAAAGGGCTGTTGGACATCACATCCTTGTTGGAGACTATGCTTAAGATTACTTAGGCTATACGGAACGAACAAGACGAGAACTTCAACATGTATCTTTATAACTCCTTAAATTTAATCATGAGCAGTGTGGGTGTCTCGGATGAGGAGTGTATGCATTTACACAATAATTTATCTAGTTCCTCCAAAGAGATTTAGGGATTGCACCTGGCAGCCTCATTCACTCGTTGGAGGATGCAAACACTTACAGAGGCTCCGATATGGAGGATGAGATTGGTGATGATATCACGGGGCCCATGGCTTTGGTGCCTCTAGGACCTTATGATGATGTGCCCGAAGCTGTGGATGGCGGGCATGCTGAGGAAGAGGACTCCGACTGACAAAGAGTTTTCTTTTCACCCTACTATGTTTTACATTTTTATATGTATTGGGGACTATGAATAAGCTAAGTGTGGGGTGGGAGAACTACTACTTGTGATGTATTGTATATAACTTGTGTCAATTTGTTTTTGTTATTAGTTTTACTTAGTCTAGTCTTTAGTCTAGTTTGTTTTAGAAAGAAAAAATACAGAAATGCGAAATAAGAAAAAAAATATATCAGAAAAAGCTCGGACTTTTCCCGACGATGGATCTTTTGGACAATTTTCTTGAGGTGATAAATCCTGATTTGAAACACCAAAAAGATTTTTTTAGGATAGTTAGGTAGTATCCTTTGGTTTTTCTTTAGGCGCCAATTATTCTCCAAGGGTGTAGTTCGAACCAGATACTTTATATTTTTTTGTAAGAGTAGGTTAGGAAGAAACTGAGTTGTTCTAAGATACTCATTGACGTGTTTGGTGCTGGCACATTAGGCTATGACATACATTCTATCTTCCTGTGCATATGGTTTGAATTGTGACGTCTAAGTAAAGTAAATAGCCTATTTTGTGATGTCTTTTATCAGTTGTTCGACTTGTATGCTACATAGTACATTAGTGCTTAAATTTCTCAACTATATGTACTTGATTGACTTGAGAGTTGAACAGAACTTTTCTTTGGCACCCACATTACAAGCCGTACTCCTATTTTGTTCTTAATTTGAGATTGTTGAACCTTTACCTCCTAAGGCCCTTAGTCGCTAAAAGAAGTAAAGTGAGAGATTTGGGGAGTAGCTTTCGAGTAGAACCATGGAAAGGCCCTTTGGTGCACTAAAGTTGAAAAACAAAAAGTCACTAGCCAATGAACTTTAATGTATGGAGTGTGTGTAGAAAGATAAATAAAAAGTGCAAGAAAAAAAAAAGAATGATAGTGTGAAGACCCAAAAGGTCATCTTTAAATTTAATAATTATTTCTGTGTTCTGAGACCTCAAACAGCACTATTCATTATTCCTCGACTTGCGTGCGCAGTTCGAATAATTTTCCGAAAAGTTTTTAAGTAAAAAATTGATTAAAATGTGAAATATAGCCTTAAAACTCAATTAAGTTGACTTTGGTCAACATGTTTAGTGAACGGACTCGTATCAGTGTTTTGATAGTTTCGGTAGGTCCGTCTCGTGATTTGGGATTTGAGCGTATGCCTGGAATTTAATTTGGAGGTCCCTAACTCAAGTTATGGAAATTTAACGAAAACTAAAAATTTAAAGGCTAAAGATTTTCAAAGTTTAACCACGGATTTGACTTTTTGATATCAGGGTTGGAATCCAATTCTGGAAATTGGAATAGCTCTTTTATGTTATTTATGACTTGTGTGCCAAATTTGAAGTCATTCTGAATTCGTTTAATATGTTTTGGCACGAGTTTTGCAAAGTGAAAAGTTTGAAAAAAATCAAATGTTCGAATCGAGGTGTGAATTGTAATTTTGATGTTGTTTGATGTGAATTGAAATCCCAAGTAAGTCTGTATTATGTTTCTAGACTTGTTGGAATATTCATACGAGGTCCCGAGTGGCTCGGATGAGTTTCGGAC